TGCATCAATATCATCAAACTAAATACAAGCTCAAAAGACTATCATAAAACTGCCTGGAATGCTGCAGAAATGGAACTGATAATCGATCAATGTAATCTTTAAATTTCTTCAGCTCATCCCTCTGACTGTTCATTCATGAATTGAGCCATAACAACAATGTGTGAGCATCAGCAATGACCCAGTCTGTGACATAAGTTCCATTATATGTTGGCCTTTAAGAGGTGATCCGAATCTCACACAAGCATCCAGCACAAGGTTAAAGTCATTGTATCAGGGATCAGCTTTGCGCAATGGTTTTCTCTGCACTTAAAAGTAGGAAACAATCAACACATCTGAATCAAGAAATTTGACGCAACACACGTCCCAGTTTCAGTCTTCACCATATGCAGAAAAACCAACCACAATACATTCATTGCTGGAAGATTCTTTTTCTCAACATCAGTCTAAGTATCACGAAGCAGGGATAGGCATCTGAGCTCTTGCTAAAGAGAGGGACAGCTTCGCTAGAACGTCAAGCTGAAGCAAATTCGGTTTCTCTTTCAAGATTATAAGAACCAAAATACATGCTTTTTTTAGCCAATGAGACTCAGATGAGTAAGACAACTCCGTGACAAACTTGTTCACAATTGAACACTCAGGAAAACCATGCAATCTCTTCAAATCATTAAAAGTTTCCCATGCTTCATCCACTTTATGATTCTTCAGTGTTAATTCAAGTTTTTTCAGTAAAACTTCACGAGACGTACCTTCCCAACATAATTTTTCAGGCACAATACTACCAGCACAAAAGCATCTGAGATTTGACAACCAAAAATATTTACACAATCCATCCAATACTAGAGACCTTCCAAAACCATTGTTAACAAGCACCGGTGTCTGAATAGTTGATGTCAAAATGAATCCGAAAGAACTACTGTTAACAAGGCAGGCTTGCACCAATTTCTTTCTTGCCAATGTTAATGCCATTGAGACACACCATCATTAGATCATAACACAAGCCCCATCAAGCCCACCAACACGAATCTAAAATTGACGGAAATTTTATAATTTTTATTCATTTTTAGCTTTTTCAAGACAAAATCAAGCACCCAGAAGCTTATTCTTCCATATCTTTATCAAACAAACATACCCAGAACTAAAATTCTGAAGTCCAAACTGCAAAGAATCTGTTAAAAAGAAAACATAATCTGAGTACGGCCAAGGATATTGCTAATATGAACAATTAACATGAAATATTCTCAAAAACCATAGAAATAATGAATAAAATGACAAATTAAATCACATAAAATTTTACCTTTTTTACACATCATACAGTGATTATTATGAAAATAATAAGAACAATAAAGAAAAATAATTGTTTCGACACAGTAGGAAAAAAAAAATAAAACAACATAGAAGCTTTAATAATTGAAAAGAACTAGCAAAATTACAGAAATAAATCAGAATCTCTAAAATATATATGTTGTTTATCTACTTATTATAATCGATAAATAAATTCGAAACTGGAAATTAAAAAATATATATATAAAAATAAAACCTGTTGACGCTTAAAAAACTGCCGGGAAATTCGCCGGCGTCAAGGTTGAGTTTGTGGCGGATTTTTTCATCGTTGACGGCCGCTCGGCGAAAGCGATGGCCACTATGCGTAGGTACGTGATTGAGCAGTGTACAGATTCCTTGGTTTCTCAAGCGGCGGCTGGCCGCCGTACTCGGCGGAGGTCTATTTTTGAGAGAAGAGAAAAAGCTGGGCGCGATTTAACTGGCTGTTTTTACTTTTTAGTTCAGTTCAGCTTCACTGTATAATAGTTTTAAAATTTTATTTTAATAATTTTACCCCATTATTTTGGATAGGATTTTGAGAATAATATTTGCTAATTTAATTAAATACCCCAATATATAAAGTGACAAAAACACCTCCACCACCTGTAGTGCCAGATTCTGGCCACACCATCGGAACCAAAATCTGGCTGGAAAATTGAGTTACAATACAAATCGGTCGGATCTGTGTCGTAACCCATCGATATGGCCTTTTCCAGTCAGATCCACCATAAATGTGGCTGGAAAATGCCAGATCTACGGCCAAATGTGCTCGTCAACGGCCGCAAAGGTCCATATCGGCTACGGCCAAAGATATGGCCGTCGTTGACCATCAACGACGGCCATTTCTTTAGCCGTGGCTGACGACCAGATCTAGCCTTTTTCGGCCAGATCCATAGTGGATATGGCCAGAAAATGCCAGATCGGTGAATAACCAGCCAATTCCGGTCGTGGTGTAAGCTGTTGTGACAGATTCCGGATATCACCGACGGTGGTTGCCGGAATCTGGCAAGTACGGGTGGGTGGGGGTGTTTTTGCTAATTTTTAAACTTTTTTTTGGGGGTATTTAGTGAAATTAATAAACTTAAGGGGTTTAAAAGTTATTAAAAAAATACACTAATATTTCTCAAATAATGTGCCAAACAATATTTAGGGAATAGGATTGGAAATATGAGTAAAAATATTAAACCAAACGCACCCACTGAAGTGGGTTATTTGCATTAAAAGGGGCTTATTTTCACTTTCATCCTTAGGATTTGAAACATATATTTACCTCCAATACTATGGGATACGAACGGTTTAGTCCAATAAGTGAAGATTTTTAATAAAAAGTCTATTTTTCCCTGGTGGTCTTATTTATACATTACTAGAAATGATGAAAAAATAATAATATATATATATATAGTCCATATTATATTTGGATATCAATTATTACTCTAACAAAAAATTAAATTTTTTTAGATATACAATCATTTTTACTTTTTTTTTAATATTTTATTCATTTTAATTACATGGTATAAGACAACATGGGTAAATAGTCTTATCAGGCTAGACTCAACTGTTTGTATCCCATAATATTGTAGGGAGTAATACTACAGTTATCGAAGGGTGTGTATTGAATTTGTGCATCGAATAACGTGACAAAATCCTGACCGTTGATTCATTATAAGTTAATATTAATCAACGATCAGGATTTTATCATATCATTCGGTGCACAAATTCGGTGTGTAACTTCCGATAACTCTATCATTTTTCATATTGTAGGTAAGTGAATATAATTCAAACCTCAAGGACAAAAATACAAATAACTCTCAAAAGGTAATTTAAATATTAAGTAATTATTTGACACATTTGACAAATTATTTCACTTATTTCATCATCTAAAATCTCAATTTTATACACAAAATATTATTATTACTCTTGGAGCTATGCTCCTAAGAATTAAGATTGGTTGATATTATTGTAGGTTAGAGCCACTTTTGATTTCGCAATTAATTAATCATTCGAAACTCTCTTGAGTAGCTGGATTTTTCTTCCCTTAAATAAAGGGTTTGGTACATACTAGTGTTGTTGATATTTTTTGTTACCAATTCAAAAATAAACTTTATCTGTAATGCTTTTTTGATTTGGTTTGATAAAGGTTTTGTTGGTGTTAAAGTCCCACATTGGTTAGAAGACGAAGATTTTGGTTGCTTATATAAGATAAGGACACCCTCGCTACCTAGAGGTGCATTTTCAAAACAAAACCATAGGGACAATACCTTTGGAAACCTACTTTCCATGTGTCTAGATCTCCAATATATATCAAAATTTGGGTACATTATGCAATATGAATATCATATAGGTCTAAATGTAGGTAAACAAACTAATAATATTAGAATAATGTTATGGACACCGATAATTTGCATTGAATTTTTGTACCGACATATGTGACATCCACTCAGACGCGGCCACGTTAGAGACAACACACGTCTTCCATGAATGAACGATCATCCAACAATTATAGTCCATATTTGATAGACAACCGTTCATCACGAATGGACGAGCGTCCACAAAAATAACAATGGATTTTTTTCCATATTATTTGGATAGGAGTCTATTTAGTATAGATGGACGTCCACCTCATATGGACGCCCGTCCATAAAATTTTAAAAATAAAATAATGGCTGGGCGTCCATCTCTTTTAGTAGTGTGTTAATGTTTTGTTTGCCCTTCTAAAATACATTACATGCCTTCTCTTCAATTCAAATGTGAATAATTTTTAGCTGATTGATGCAAGCAAAGTCAAGAAATGTCAATGTCTTTATCCAAAACTAGATAACATGTTTATAAATTAATAAATCATAATAAAGTAGATAATTAACTTACATGTTCTTCATGTGGTAAATTATAGATGGTAATGGATGCTTGTTCATATAATATGGACGAGTATCCATTATTTTATTTTTAAAGATTTATAGACAGACGTCTATATGAGGTGGATGCCCATTTAGAGAAAATGGATTCCCGTTCATTATTATTTTCTTGGACGCTCGTCCATTCGTAATGAACGATCGTCCATAATTGTTGGACGGTCATTTATTTATGAAAGACGTTCCAACATGGTTACGCCTGACTGGATGTCATATATATCAGTACAAAAATTCGATGCTAATAATTGGTTTCTGTAGCACTATTCATAATGTTATGTTAGTTAAATGATGGAAATAAGGATATATATACATATACTTAAAAGATTTAAGTGGACGTACAAAATAAACCTTACTCTTCAAATTTTATAAGTTGTGCGTGTAAAATGGGAAACACCCAAGTCCCTAACATATTTATCCATGACAAGTTCTCAATCCAAAAATCCAATTATTCTAGACATGATACCTAAAATTCCCTTAAAATGACCTCAAAATTAATTGAGATAGAAACCCACAAAATTATAATTCATCACACGATTCTCATAATTCAATGACTTCAAAATTTATACAATTGGATAGCAAACCGTACGTTGGATTATCCGAAGTCCGAACCTTTTCTCTTATAACTTAAAAATCTTCTAGACTTGCTGTGTAAATCGAATTCCTGACAAAAACCTACAATCTTCAAGAAAAATGAAAATAGTCCTTATTCATGTACAAATTACAATGTTTACCCAAAATAAATCATATACTTAACATTATTTTATCACAAAATTAGAAAAATAAGCTAAAAACAACTAAAATTGAATTCCTCAATAGTGTTATTACATTTGAGTAACTTCAAATTTGTACAAAATCAAAAGCATTTCACAAATTACATAAACCCTAATTTGACCCTCTTCTCCCACTTGTACCTCTCATTCCCAAAAACTTCAAAAACGCCGCCATAAGGTACAACCTCCACTTGCAACGATCACCCCCATCGGCAACAACAAAAGCACTTCCTCACAAATCGGAAAAAACCCTAATAGCCCCTCTTCTACCACTTGTACATTCCTCCTCAAAAGGTCAATAATATCCCAAAACGTACAACCTAAAGTTGCCTTCCGGCGGCATCCGCCACGAAGGGCAAATACGGAGTTTTACCCAACATAGAACAAATCAACCCATAAACAAAACAAAAACAACTAAAAACAAACACCGCATTGTGGCCCCAAAGCATCAACTTGAACCCGATCCCGGCCCGACCCGGATTGAATATCCGGGTCAAGAGCAGAGGCACCACCAGGAGGACGTCCAAAGTGACGGCCTGCATCGCGTTGAACCGCACGTAGCGGCTGAAGCTAGGATTTCTAACGACGCCCAAATAGAGCGCGAAGAAGGCGACGAAGCTAGCGTACGGGAAGGCCCGGTAGAGGCCCAGCAAGGGGAGAAACGGGTCGAAGAGGAGGCCCAATTGGGGGTACTGCATGAAGAGGTAACGGCCGTACTGGAGGGAGTTGAAGAAAGGGAGAGTGTAGGCGACGGCGGAGATGAGGCGTTCCGGAGCAGGGGTTGGGGCGGAGGAAGGGGGATTGTTTTTGTAGGACATTTGGACGGTGGAGATGGGTTTGGGGCGGTGGGTCTGTGCCCATTTTGGGGAAGGGAAGATCTGGGCCGTTGATAAGCGAGGGGTGAAACTGGAAATGAAGTGTTTGGAAGAGGGGTGGAGAGAGAGGGAGAGAGTGAGAGATGCCATGGTAGAGTGAGAGAGAGAGAGAGAGAGAGAGTCTGGGTTTAGGGTTTGAGAGATTTTGGGGGTTTTTGATATTAGAGGATGGTGATTAATGGTTTGCAGGGTGGTTGAATGAAATTTTTTGATGTTTTGGGGAAATGTTACAATTGTTTTTTTCGGGGGGGGGGGGGGGGGGTGGCGGGGCGGCGGCGGGGGGCGGGGGTGTGATATTGGGTCAAAATGTAGAAAAATTAAGAGGTTTATTTATTTATTTGATAGATTTTGGATTTGAATTTTAGATGGTTGAATATAGATTAATAAAGACAAGTTAAAATAATTTTTAAAAGAGCTTGTAAAGTATTTAAATCCACGGTATTTAATGTTTGTTAATAAAATATGCTTAAAATCATAAGTTTAAATTAGATAATAAATTAATATATGAAAAATATATAATATTTTAAAAGTTCAAAAGTCTTAAACATAATTTTAATTTTTCTTTAAGAAATTTATCCAAATTAAGTAAAATGTTTTGAAGATGGAGAGATAGGAGAATAAATGGTGGAGTTTTTATTTCATAGTAAGAGTTAAGAAAATCATTAGTTATAAAATTTTTTAAAAAAAATCCTTAATAAATAATAATAATTCTATATACGGAGATGATGATTTAGTTAAGGAATTAGAATTAATATTTCTTATGTATTTAAATATTATTGTCAATTAAAACAAAATTGCATATTAACTTTTATAAGGATGATAAATAATTTAATCTGTTTTAGTATTTGAGAGAAGGTTTTTAATCTTCAACATTAAAAATATGTCTAGCGTGCTGTTGAGCACGATAGACATTACGAAACGTTTTTTGATCCCGTTTTTTTTTTTGTATCACCTCCCTGTCTTTTTTATTTGAAGAAGATAGACTAATAAGAGTGGACTTTGATTTCTGTTTTTGTTTTGTTGTTCCTAACCCAAGGCATGTCCTTAGGTAGGAAGAGGAAATCTTTTTGGTTTTCTAAGGCATGTTGTTTTTGTTCCCAACTTAGGGCATGTCCCGAGGTAGGAAGAGGAGAGTGTATAGTCTTCTTTAGCTTTGTTTTTTTTAGTCTTTTTTGGACTAATTGATTCTTTTAGTCCTAACTTAGGGCTTATCTTGAGGTAGGATGGTCGGTTTTATAAGCCTCATGTACATTCTCTCTTTTCTAATGCATACTAACTTACCAAAAAAAAAAAAAAAAAATAATAATAATAATTTCATCTACACAGTCTTTTTTATTTTTCTTTTTTTCACCTAACCATTATAATTGTCGGTTAATTTGAAATAAATACACGTGAAATCTAATTGAATGGGCATAAATATTATTGGAGATAAACTTAAATGTGACAATGTTGTTACATCACTATATCCATATTGCAAGATTTTTAACTTAATTTTAACCACATATATTCTTTAAACCGGTTATACCAACATGTAAGGTTATTATTATTATTATTTTAAAAAATAGACCCTTAAAGAATATGGTTATATTTTGAAATAGCCAAAAATAAAATATATAAAAGAGTAATCAAGTCGACCCAGAATGTTTGCCAAATGACAAAGCCCACCTGCTGGTGTGGGAAATCACACTAACCCCCAACTTTTGTTATATGTACTTTTTAAGAATCTATTAAAATTGGAAATATCATAGTTTCCCTCCAATATAAGTTCAACTACTGTGTTACCCTAAAACTTATCAAATTGATATTTACAAACCAAAAACTTTATAAAAAATATCATTAAGTAAGCAAACTAGAAAAACTACCAAATAAAATTCCAAAATGCCTAAACCCCAAATCGTACCTTATAGCAATTGCTAAAGGAAATCGCCTCGTGATAGCCATTGGAAGCCGAAAAAAGTTTGGGTAGCTATTGAAACCATTTTTGGCCTTGCACATCTTGGGGGAGATATGTTTGACCTTGTGGTAGTCATGCAAGGGTATTTTGGACATTGTCCATGTTGCCAAGGCCGTTCTCGGCCTTGTGGCGACCACGGATGGCTGGAGTAAGAATTAAGTGGTTGGGAAAAAAAAAGGGAAGAAGATTGCGGAGGAGGAGAAAAAAAAGATGAGATATCAAAAACTTCTAAAAAGATAAAAATCTCAAACTACCTTGCGATGAATTAAAATTAACACAAAAATTAATGGAATGACATTAAATCTAATTTCACATATCTGTGGGAGTTATTTGTCATTTTTTAAAAAATATGGGCCAAATAAAAAACGCAATTATAGAAACTTACAAGGCAAGTAAGCACAAAACGCTCTCGAACAACTGAACCACCTCGTACCTCTCATGTCTCTGCCCTATGTTCGCTCACTCTCACCCACAACAACAACAACAAAACCTGTTTATTTATTTATTTATATTCTCTCTTGATTTTCTGCAACAATTTCAACACCCGGGTTTTGTTTTCTGTTTTTTTTTTTACTCCACAAACACTCAAAACATGGCCTTAAATGCACCACCCATTACAGCCATTTCTTTGCCTTCATTAAAACCTTCTTCTTCCTTTTCTTCTAATAGGCCATGCACGGTCAGGCTTCCACCTCTCAAATCTTCTTTCGTTGGCCTGGAAGGTACGAGAAATTTTTCATCTTTGAATCAAAGTTATAATTGTTTTGCTTTCTGGGTTTGCATCTGTTTAGTTTCCTCCATTTTCTAGGAAAACAAACAAGAGGATCATTCAAAGTTATAGTAATTTTTTATTATAGTATCCTCTACTTTATGGGAAAACAAACAAAAGGGGTCATTGTTGATATCTTTGAACAAAAGTTATAATTGTTTTTCTTTGCTTTTTATGTGTCATTGTATTGAATTTTTTATTATCATGCTTTATTTTGTTTTGTATTGTTTTTTGTTTTTTGGGTTTGTCTCTGTTTGTTTTAGTATGATCATAGTTGACAAATAATGATACTTTTGTTTGTTAAAAAAATTATGTATTTTTTGCTTTTATTTTTCTTCAGTTATGTTGAATTTTTGATGATGCTATTCAGTTATCTTGTTGCTTTGGTTTCTGGGTTTGTCTCAGTTTGTCATAGAGTAATCATAGTTCATAAATAATGATCCTTTTGTTTGTTTACCTAGAATGTGGAGGAAACTAATGAAAACATTATAACGTATTTGTTACTTCCATTTTTTTCCCCATTGTATTGCTTTCTGTGTTACCCTCAGTTTGTTTTATTGTTATGATATGTTTCTTCAGTATGTTTTAATTGTGTATAAAATAAGAGAAAAAAAAAAAAAAAAAAACTTAATTTTGTACATTCTTTGGAAGCAATATATGGTATTTGTACAACTCTAAAACGATAACATGTATAGATCATGTGTTGGATGTTACTAAAATTAAGTTGTCTACAATCAAGTTTAGTATAAATGTTACTGATATAACACTCACTAATAGCAAGATAATTTTTCTGAAGAATTACCTAAATCCTGTGGTTTGTTAATTACTTAGCAGAATGGTATTTGACTTGGTAATGTTCTTGGACAAGTTATAATGTAAAATTGATAATATTAGAAATCATGCATTTTATATTGTTAAAATAATGCTATATTGCAATTCATATTTCACCTTTGATTTGATGTTGTATGTTGAATGTTGCCTGTTACCAGTATAAAGTTGTGGGTTAACAGTATGTTAAAGGTTTTTCATGTACGATCGAGATCTTGTTTGCTCTCACTTTACTTTGTTTTTCTTGAAAATTTTGTTTGTATCTGTGTAGACAAATGTGTTTTCTTTTACTATGTTTATTCTTTGTTTGATTCGTCAGAAGTTGTATGAAATAAATTCTTGATGTCATACAGTGCCTACTCTGGTGGACAATCTTCTATTGGTCATTTACTCTTCTAATTGTTTCTTATTAGTATTATGTTTCAAAATTTCTTCTGTGTATAAATTTATTTTCTTGCAGTGGGAGAACGGAGAGTTAGTCAGCTAAGATTAACTTGCAACGATAGGTTAAGATGTAATGGTCTTGGTGGAGGTGCTTCTGGCTCTGGGATGAATATTTTTGAGCGGTTTGCAAGAATTATCAGAGTAAGCTCTGCGAATACTTTTATATTGCGGATTCTTCTGATAGATCTCAGCTCTTTTTTTTTTTTAAATATTTATTGAATTTTAATATATGAAATTTTTTACCTGTTGATTTCCACTGTTGAAGTCATATGTAAATTCTATTGCGGCGATCTTCGAAGACCCAGAGAAGATCATAGATCAAGCTGTTATTGACATGAATGGAGATTTGACAAAGATGCGTCAAGCTACTGCTCAAGTATGTCCATCATATTTATAATTTTCAGTTGTTTCTTATCTGTTTTCTTTAACTTATCTCTCCCGTATTTGTTTATTCTGACTGGTTAAGGGATCAACATATGTTGAAATTTTAATGCATCAAATGGTAAACTGAATGGAGCAAAGAGGAGTGCATGCAAGTTTTCAATTAGAAAATATTTGACATTGTTCCTTTTTTGAAGGTCTTGGCATCGCAAAAGCAATTAGAAAATAAATGTAAAGCTGCACGAGAAGCTTCTGAAAAATGGTGAAACGATTTTTCAGATTTTTCAGAAGCTTTAATTTGCAAAAAGAATAAAAAAGGCATCTTGATGGCGGTTTTCATATGCCTTGTCTTGTAATAGGTATCAAAAAGCCCAATTGGCTCTTCAAAAGGGGGATGAGGGTCTTGCTCGTGATGCACTTGCCAGAAGAAGATCTTTTGCTGTAAGTTCTCTTCAAAATTTGGCATGATGAGTTTTCAGTCAAGTATGCAGTGTTGAACATTTGTATGATTGCAAGGGACATTACAAGTTACAATTTGAACGGACGTTTGGTGCCTTTTTTGTTTTGCCTCACCCTATATATGTTCATGCTTCAGTATTTATGCTATTAAGCTAATAATTAAGGGAGTTACAAGTGACTATTGATTATCTACAGAACACATGGGTGTTAATAAAATGGTTAGATTTATCATTAAGGATGATCATATCTAGACTCCTACATAATGAGTGTGGATTTAGAGCAAGAGGAGTTTGTGAGTCATTTTTGTTTAAATATGTGACGGGTCACTAGTGCAAATGCCTTGTTCATTTATTTTTGCTTTAGAAGTTATGGATACCTCCTCTATCCATGGCGCATGCTTGTCCTCATATTGGGGACAGGAAAGCAGGGAAAGGGGACTGAATTGTAGGGGTTCTCGTTCCTTTGTTGCTTTTGAGGGCATTTTCTTATGAATTAACCCCAATTCCTTCCCAATGCCTACCAAGAAAAGCCCTGAATCTGATCCCACATTTGCAGTTTATTTTTGAGTGTGGTTATGCACTCTCCAAGTTTTAATCCATTTTCTGAATGCTGTTGAATGCTTACATTTATTATATGTTTGCGTACGTGTATATTTGTGTATAAAAATATACACTTACATGTTTGTTAAAATTAAGTAAAAACATTTAAAAAAAAAAGACTATTCTTGTGATGCATGCTGCAGCCTAGCCAGCTCATTCTTGTCCAGTAGTACTAGACAAGTAAATCTTGTATGCTATTGAATTGATTTGATTAGAGCTAAGCCTTCGACCTCTAATAAGCTTGTTTTAATGTTTCTGAGTATGTTATTTGACTGATATATCTCAAGTTTGTAAATGTCTTGTTTTGCAGGAAAATGCAAGTGTTCTGCAACGTCAACTTGATCAGCAGAGGAGTTTTGTTGATAATCTTGTTTCTAATACAAGGGTAGGTTGCTATTCAATTCTATTCAATGGCAATATATGTTTCTTATTTATGTGTTTCAATTAGTATTTGTCCCTTTGGAATTTATTAAATGCATTACATTTTTGTTTTAACTTAACTTTTTCTTTCATTTAGTTCATTGAGTTTCTCAAACTGCTCTAGCTAAATTGTATTGAGCATGTAACCCATCCAATATGTTGTAGATTTCATGGAAAACTAGGGAATTGATATGTTTCTGTAAAGTGGGAGTAGGCCTATTAGCGCTTTTTTTTTTTAAGAACATATTTCAAAATATTTTGGGACAACCTGGACTGTAATTGTTTTTCAAAGTCCAAAGTATCAGCGGAGTAATTCCAACAATGACTCAGGATATGCCATCCTCGAGGGGACTTTGTTGCTCCGAACTATTGGAGAAATGCTACCACCATACATAGAACGATATTTAACTCCAGCCGTAGTTTGTATGTTTTGATAGAAGATGAGATGGGAGGGAAGGTTTGAGATGAAAGGGGAGAAGTTGTGATGATAGTAGCAACTTGCTGCTGCCGTTGCTGCATCATGTGAGGTCAGTTGGGTCCTGCATAGGAGGTGGTAGACCAAAGTCATATAAAGCTTCAAACTTACCATAATTTAATCGAAGACTTTTTAAAAAGATAACACAGCGCTACATGAGAACTAAGGGAAATATATTTTCAAAGAATTTCTAGTGGTTGCAAGTGCTGTTTGATCCTCAAAGTGGCTTGGTTAAATGTTGTGGTCACAAGATCTGATAGGGATGCAGAAAAATGCTTACATCAGTATGTCAAAAGGATGAAAGTTCATTTTCATTCATTAAAGGAAGCATGTTGGGAAGCACATATTTTGGCTGCTTTCAGGCAAGTCAAGCTAAGTTTCTGTTAGACCTCCCATACACAAGGTCTACAAGGCAGGGGAAGGAATAGGAATAAGGGTACGTTGAGTGTGAGTCTGTTAAGGGATGATGAGGTGTGCAAAGAGGGTGGTTAATGCATGGGAAGGCTGTTATGGAAATGGACATGTAGCTGTCAATTAGTTATGGGACTGAATAATTAGCTTATAAAAAGGAGGAAATGAGGGAGGCAGGACATCATCAAAAATATTATTCATAGGCTTGTTTGGGAGGTCCCCAGCTCCTCAAATTGCTGGGAATTTGTCTGTTATTTCAATTGTTCCTATTTTTGTTCTCAGTTCCAGTTAATGCAATATGCTATTTCTCTATTTTTGTGCATATTCTCTTGCTGTGTGTTGTGTGTGTGTTGCTGTGATTTACTGAGTTGCAGGGGAGTTCCATCAGCTTGGTATCAGAGCAAGGTTGCCAATAGGGTTCACGTTGGGGAATGGTCAAATAAAAAATGGATAATATGGAAAAAGAGATGAAGTCACTACAGGAGGATATGAGTTCAGTTAAGACTGATGTGGGAAGCCTTAAAGAATACTTGATCGAGATGAGAGAATTGTTAAGGTTAAGAGAGGAGAGGGAGGAGAAAGGTTACAATGAAAAAGAGAAATCCCAGTCATCATCTGAGAATACGGGTTCTGGTGATGGCCGAGAGCGAGAACAAGAAACAATCGGGGAAGGTGGGAAAGAGGAGAAGAAAGCCTGGAAGCTGGAGCTTCCAATTTTCAGTGGAGAAGACCCTTTTGGATGGACCTTTCACGTAGACCGTTACTTCGTTATTAACAAATATGGGCCATCGGAGATGGTGGAGGCCACGGCTGTTTGCATGGAGGGTAGGGCGTTAAACTGGTACCAGTGGGTAGAAGGACGAGAACCTTTCAAGTCATGGGAAGAGTTCAAGGCTGCTCTAATCGCGAGGTTCCGGCCGTCGTTCCAAGGGTCTGCACACGAGGCGCTGGTGGCACTGAAACAAACCTCCACCTTGATTGAATACAGGGAAGACTTTTAAGCCCTTACAGCATCGTTGAAGGATTTAGGAGAAGACTTGTTAATGGGGGTTTTCATAAATGGGCTTAGGGAAGAAGTTAGAGCTGAGTTGAGAGTGCTGAGGCCCAACTCTCTCCAAGAGGTTATTGAGCAGGCCCATCGTGTGGAGGAAAAAAATTGGGTGACGAAAAAGTGAAGGCCCAAACCTTTTAGAGCCCAGGTATCCAAGGAGAATTACACACGGGTATCCAGCAGCCCAGATCTAACCCGGCACACGTGGTGGTCCAACCTATCAAAGATATCCGGTAGTCTGGATCCGACCCGACCCGCCTGGTGGCCCAACTCATCAAAACCACCAGAATCTAAGCAAGTCGCATCATCTCGTGCACCCGATAGAAGAGAGAGAGCATCGAAAACTAGAGTCCCGAGCTTCCGAGGGGGATCAAGAGGGAATTTTCGACGGCTGTCTGAAGCCGAGATCCAGTATAAGCGAGAAAGAAGGCTTTGCTTTTGATGCGACAAAAAATTCGGCCCTAATCATCGCTGTCGGAGTAAATCGTTGCAAATCTTGTTGGCTTTGGAGGATGACGAAACCGAGAAGGGTGAAATGTTGTGGTCACAAGATCTGATAGGGATGCAGAAAAATGCTTACATCAGTATGTCAAAAGGATGAAAGTTCATTTTCATTCATTAAAGGAAGCATGTTGGGAAGCACATATTTTGGCTGCTTTCAGGCAAGTCAAGCTAAGTTTCTGTTAGACCTCCCATACACAAGGTCTACAAATCCAAGGGCAGGGGAAGGAATAGGAATAAGGGTACGTTGAGTGTGAGTCTGTTAAGGGATGATGAGGTGTGCAAGGAGGGTGGTTAATGCATGGGAAGGCTGTTATGGAAATGGACACGTAGCTGTCAATTAGTTATGGGACTGAATAATTAGCTTATAAAAAGAAGGAAGTGAGGGAGGCAGGACATCATCGAAAATATTAGTCATAGGCTTGTTTGGGACGTCCCCAGCTCCTCGAATTGCTGGGAATCTGTCTGTTATTTCAATTGTTCCTGTTTTTGTTCTCAGTTCCAGTTAATGCAATCTGCTATTTCTCTATTTTTGTGCATATTCTCTTGCTGTGTGTTGTGTGTGTGTTGCTGTGATTTACTGAGTTGCAGGGGAGTTCCATCAGTTCCTAAAAGGGATAAGCTGAGTTAAAAAATTTATGGTTTCTTGTTGGTCAGTCTACTCTCTGTGTCGCAGATGTTTTAATACAATTGCTAGTTTATCATGTGGCTTCAATTTCGGGCAACCATGTCTACAAAGGACAATCATTTCATTTTAGGCTAATTCAATCGGTCTGCTTTTCTGACAGCTTCTGGAGAGCAAGATAATGGAAGCAAAATCAAAGAAAGATTCCCTTAGAGCACGTTCCACCGCTGCAAAGTTTGTCTTAAACTTCCTATCTTTCATCTTTTATTTTTCCTCCCACTGGAAAAATTTCTCTCTCACATAATGATACTATAAGGGCTGGTTTATATCTTCTGTTAGGACTGCAATGAAAGTTCAAGAAATGATTGGAACTGTGGATACCAGTTCTGCTCTTTCAGCTTTTGGAAGAATGGAGGAAAAAGGTACTTTATCTATAGAATAATGCTACAATCACCGACAATAGTAATGTTACAATCACTGATAATAGTACATCGAATTTATGCATTGAATAACGTGACAAAATCCTGACCGTTGATTAATAATAAATTAAAATTAATCAACAGTCATGATTTTATCACGTTATTCGGTACACAAATTCAGTACACTATCGTCGGTGACTGTATTATTTTCCTTATCTATATGTTTTAACATATGCATGCTATTATCTCTATCAAACACGTGTCTCATCAATTGCATGCGCATTCTCTCATGCATGTATTTTAATTTTTCCTAATTTTTTCAGTTAATAATACTAGCTAGCCTTCTTCATTGTCTATATGTGGATTGTGGTATTTTTCGTGAGGCCTTCTTGTTATGGTTTTGGGCTAAATTAGTTCATTTTATTCTCTTTTTTCCGAATACATTATATATAATTTATCTTGGATATCTTCCTTATCTTGGTTTTTGTTGTCAATGGCCTGTGTCATTCTCATTTTTCTTACAATTTTATATTTGATTATATAATTGCTATTTTTCTTTCTTTTTGGGCTTTGAGTATATCAGAAACTAGGGGTGAACGGTTCCGAGTACCCTGCGTTTTTTGAGGAAACTGGAACCGCATAATGCAGGTTCCCAAAAAAAGGAACTAGAATCGGAACCTGAAATGCAAGGTACCCTGTAAAAATTAATGACCCCCCTATTAGTTTAAAAAATGACAAAAATACCTTAAAAGTTTACAAATATAGCCCTAACAAATTAAGAAAACCTACATTTAGTAGTTTTCAACTTTTGATTACTCATTCATTTGTAACCAATGTGACTTATAAATCCTCTAATCTCTAGGCAACACTTGAATTCAATCAATTCATCATAATTCACATAAAATTTCTCGATCAAAACCAAAACACAAACAAGTTCCAAGTAGGGTACCCGCTTTAGGTTCTTTTTCCAGGTTCCGATTCTAGAACCTATAGGAACCGAAACAGCACAGTGTCAGTTCCAATAAATGGAATCGGAACCGATGTAAAACCGAATAAAACCAGAACCGGAACAGCACAGTGTCAATGTTGGTTCTGGGTAGGTTCCGGTTCCGGTTCTGGTTTTATTCGCAAGTTCTGGTTCTACCTGCTACCCATGCTCACTCCTATCAGAAACCTTGGTGTTTGTGGCTGACAAGGTATGTTGTATTCTTGCAGTTTTGACCATGGAGACTCAAGCAGAGGCACTTAATCAATTAACCACTGATGAACTTGAGGGAAAGGTTTGAGTCTTATCTTTCTCACATTTCTTTGCAATATTTTCAATCATCTTCACGTGTTCTTTCTTGTGTGTTAGCCTCTTTTACTTCTCACAGTCTAACAACTATTATATATTATCTCAAAATGAATAGATGATCTAGTGGAGCCGGAAAGTAAAAGCAGATCTGTTTGTTGCTATGAATATTGTTTCCTGATAATGTTTGCTCTTTTAGTATATGTAGAACTTGCTTATATACTCCAAATAGATGCATAGCTGGAATATATTTCCCAGAGACTTAGATAATTGATTGAGGTGAACTTGAAATCTAGTGTACCCTCATGACGCCACAATATTATCCTTATGATTTTGGATAGTTAGATCGATGCAACATTAATTCTTATTTGAATTGTTATAAATCTTTCAGATCTCTTTAGTGTTAAAACGCCCCATAGGATGTTCAATTTTCTGTCATGTTAGTGGAATACTCTCGTTTAAGTATTCGATGGAAGTATTTTTGACGTGTGAAATGAACTAAATTACTAGTGGTCGTACACTAGGTTGTATCTGTATCTTTATTTTATTTTTTAAATAACCTGTAAAGCTAAGATCACTTTTACTGATCCTTAATCTGTATCGTTTGAAGTTTAAAATACTTGAAGGTACAACTATTGAAGATGATCTTGCTGAATTGAAAAAAGAGCAATCTGTGATCTCCAAGGTACTTCTTTTCTTTTTTCTGTAGATGGTGGAATTTAATTATGAGTTCCAAGGTATTCCTATTCTTCTTGTTTCCTCTTGCTCACTCGATGTTTCTCTAGTTATGTTACGGTTACTATGATTTTTAGCATTAGCGTGTTATTCATGTTTATTTGAAGCCAAACTAAGAATTCTTTGGCCATGGAGAGCCTGATTTAATACCAGAAGGGTATCAGTTGAACTTTCATAATAAAGGCAGTTTTAGAAATTTTAAAAGTACTCCTGCAAGAAACGTAATCCTGTTGACATATTACAGGGGTTGGATTAGTGGGCTATTTGTCTGTTTGCAATGCTTTTACACATCATTCACCTTATTCGTTTTCTTTTCAGTCTAAACAGAAGGGAGAGCTTCCACCTGGGAGAACTGCTGTTCCCTCAAACATGCCATTTCCTTTCCGAGAGTCTGAAATCGAAAGGGAGCTGAGTGAGCTAAGGAGACGGGCGAATGAATTCTAATGTTACTTTGGTAACCATTCTTCACAAATTTTGAATCATACTTTTCCTGTCAAATGCAGTTTACGGGGAAATTTTTGATGATAGGCTGAGGTTGAATTTTAGAAATGAAAATCAAATCAATCTCTAGCTTCCTTTATAAATAACTTATATCTATCTCTACACTATTTTTTTTCTCTATATAGATGCCTTTATTTTTTGATACTCGATCGATTTTCTTGCTATTGTATCAAAATTCTTATAATGGAGATACTAGTAATTGTTTCTTCCACAACTTAGAAGACAAGACCTTTTAAGTATAACTAACCCCATTAGTTAAGAGGGCTTGCCATCCGACCACATGGGCAAAGCAGCTTCTTGTAAATTTATGAATAGCTTTTTGTTGAATCTCAAAAAAATCAAGTTGTGCTTGTACATGACGTCGCTGGCGATAGAAGAATTAGAAGAATATATTGTGATACTTAGTATGCAAACTGATACCCATTCTGGACTTTTTTTAATTAGAAGTAACTTTTTCAAGAATTTTAATACTTATTGTTGAGAACTTTAATCCAAATCTAAGCAATCTCATAGTAATTATCAGTTCGATAACATTACTAAATCGATAGTAAACAAATACTACTGATTTTACTCCTGCAATGGTCAAATGACTCAAATCCAACTGTCACAGGCCAAAACCCAGTGACATTTTCTTGACAGCCATTAACTTGTTCTTAAACTCAATTCATTGCAAGTCTTCAATGCCCTGAAGAGTTGATATTACAACTAAATACTTTCAACTCTTCAATTTGCTTGCATATTTCCATCCCATTTCTCACTCAAACCAAATTAAAATAAGTTCAAGTTTTCACCACTTTGGACACAATCAAAAGCCTGGGGAATGCTCTGCATCAGTGTAATGGCTGAAAAATTAGTGTCTGAGGCGACTTGAAAAAAGATTCTACATAAAATACGAGGAGATGTTGTAGCAGCAAAACACTAAAATCTGAATTAAAGGAATCAATAAAACGTTACAAGCACACACATACACGAGCACATATACATTGAAACATGACTAATATTGGGAGCTTGTTTTATCAAAAAAATTAAAAAAAAAACCTCATATTTAACAGAATCATAAAATGAAAATACAAAGACATTGACAAATCCTTCCATTTACATAAAAAATACGAAAGAAGAAAAAAAATACACAATACCACAACCGATTTATATGCATATGGTATGATAACAAATAACAACAAAAAGGAGAGATTTCTAGTGAATTTATTATAGCCAGACCCAGAACCAGCCCGACCAATTTTACCCCCATTGAAACCTCATCCCAAATTTACATTACCTTATAACTTTTATAACTTTTACTCTTCATTTACCAAAATTGTAGTTCTTTTACCCCGCAAAGATAGCACCATCGGGCCAAAAGGTCTGTACAACAAAGAAAACAAGCACACGTAACGGAAGCATATAATTTGCCAAATAGACTCTCCAGCAGTCTCTTCAGGCAATAGCAAAAACCCATGGGATCATGAATAATAACTCAGCCCTTGAAATCTATGAAACAGCCCTTAGTTTGTCTCCCTGACCAACTTCAGACCCCAGACTCGTGTTCTTATCCTGAAATTGCAACATGACAAATTTCAGCACCACTTCAGATGGACCACAACAAATTCAACTTGAGAGACCAACAGCAATTATCAATCCATAATACAGGTTGCCAACATTCCTCACACAATCATATCAATGAATCAAATTCTATATCCAAAATAACGGTAGAAACATTCAACAAATTTTTGCAGAATCACTGACTCTTACAAAATGCTACAGCAAATACAATCTCTGGAAACAAATAGATTACAATATGATAACAAATCATCCTAAACCTATTGGATGACTAGAAGAGTAAATAAACATCTAATATAATCAAACAAAAATGAACATTGAATCTGTTAACAACTTGTACTGAGTCCCACCACTATAAGTGACTCCATAAATCCTTGAAACATAATATTAGAGATCCTAAAAACTAATAAGAAAATCAACATATTGCAACAAAGAACTTCAAATACATTATTGCAGATAGAGTAATATATAGGAACTGCGTTTAAGCAACAGATGTTTCCACAGTCAAATATCATCTACCACTATCGTATCCTATTTCATAACAAGCTCGAAAATAAAATGAAAACCACAATCTTAGTCATAATATAAACTACATACTCAAATCCCCAGCCATAACTCTACAATAATGAACCAACTTAAAAAAAAATGAAAGAGAAAATACAACATATAACTTTACACGCTTCTGGGTTCCAATATCAGTAGGTAATGATACATGACAAGCCTTACATTCTGATTTACAGATCTTAAATTCTATGCTAAAATTCAAAATTTCACATTACAAGTTTCATGATTTCTTTTCTGGTACACTATATTTTCCCATAAACCTCATACACATACCTATTGTGCTTCCCAAAATAAACATCATATATAACACATAATCTCAGCCTTGAGACCCTAATTATGAAATAAAATCCTCATCACTAGCAATAATCAAAGCCTAATCAGAATATTCATCACAATTATATGCTCTATATGCAACTATTCATCACATTTTTATGTTCTATGTTATAATTCACATTTTCAGATTACAAGTCATATTAAACGTTTCAGGTTTTTTTGGTATCAATATATTTCCCTATAAACCTCATACAACTAACTAGCATGCCTGCCATGAAATCACACACAACGGGCATAATGTGAGTCTGAAAACCCTAATTATCAAATGAAATCTCATCACTTTAACAGAAATACAAACCCTAATCTTGCATATTATTACAATTTCATGCAATTAACCTACATACCACCAACCCAAGTCCACAAACACACAATTCCCACAATACAAAATGTGAAATAACATCCTCACCACTCACACCAATAAAACCCTAATTGTTCAATCAACCCCAAAATTTCATGCAATTGACCCACATTTCAACAACCCATTTCCAAAAATCACAAAACTTCAAACCCACCAACCTTAGAACCATGATCGTCATCATCATGATCGTGATGATCATCAGGATCAACGGCCGTGCAATCACGAGGATTCTCAAACAACGAAAGCGAGAACTGCTTGTCAACAACCCCAACATCGAAGTAAATCAACCCAGAGCTCGGGACATCGACACGTATCCCCTTAACGGGGAACCACAAAAACAGTTCTTGCTGCGTCACACCGGATAATTCCCCGATCTTCCCGAAACTCAACTGCCCGGACACATTAAAATCGTAGTGAAGCTGATTCTCGAACTTGGCGTTGCAGGGCTGAGTCAAGTTGATTTGGAAGAAGCCTGAAGCGGGGTCCACGTAATAATCATTGATGCCCTTGGGGAAGAGTCCCATGGGGAGGCCGTTGGATTTCAGGTGATCGTAAATGGACGGCTGCGATGCGTCGACCTTGATGATCAAGAAAGTGAGGGCGATTGAGAGGAGAATTAGGGTTGAATTTGGGTGATTCATGATGGGTTTTGGGTTGTGGAAATGGGTTTTGATTGGATTCGGAGGAGATGGGAGAGGGAGAGGGAGAGTGTGGCGCGTTTTGATGTTGCTGACAATGAAATGAAGATGGGGGTCAAATTTTGCAGAGAATCAAACATAAATTTGGGGGATTTTTTTTAGGGTAACGTTATTGGAGCCAGTAACCTATAAAGTATGGTACTTGTGATCAAGGCTGGCATCAATGTGGTGGGTACCCTTACCACAACGCTACCACTGCATTATTCTATAGTCAATCATTAACTTAGAGTCAATAACATAATTTTTTTTTTCCTTTTTTTGGTTATTAGGGATGTCTGGACCAACTTATGCGCACTTCAATTAGTCCTTCAATCTTGAACAAGGCAAGTCCTAGGGTCTAACAAAAAATATTAACAACTGTTGTTATTCAAACTTCAGAGAGAAGGGGGGGGGGGGGGGGGGGGTTGGTTTTCCCTTTATTATTCGGTTAACACATTATTGGTTTCAATAACATAATTTATGTTAGGTTCGGTTAAATAATAAAAATTCCTGACAAAAAATATTAACAACCGTTGTTGTTATTCAAACTTCAGGGCGGGGCTCGTTTCCTTTGTTATTCAGTTAACCCATTGTTGGTTTCAATAATTGGTTTCAATAACATAATTTATGTTAGGTTCGGTTAAATAATAAAAATTCCTGACAAAAAATATTAGCAACCGTTGTTGTTATTCAAACTCAGACCCGGGGGGGGGGGGGGGGGGGGCGGGGGGGGCTGGTTCCTTTGTTATTCAGTTAACCCATTGTTGGTTTCAATAATTGGTTTCAATAACATAAAATTAAATAATAAAAATTCCTTTAAGGTTTATAACAGAAATTCGGCAAATATTTTATTAATTCAATATATGTTCAACAACTTTCTAACTATTCTCTAATGAGAGGGATTTTTTTATTTATTTTAAAATCGTTAAATTTTTTTATGTTACATCGAATTTAAGGAGTTTATGTTTTAACTCTTAGTTAATCCAATGATAGAAAAAGAGCGACATTGCCCTAACCCATAATGTGCTATTTTTTTTTATGTTACTGAGGTATTAGATCATATTGAAGTCTGTTTAATCCTCGGATCACGAACACCCTACAACCAATAGACCAAGGTAATTATACAAATGTAATAAACACTCTCCTAGTGACTCGAACACAAAATTCTCTGGATATAGCTAATCTAGTAGTTAAAAGGTTTGCCATACAACACAAGGGGGAGGTATAATGTGCTATTATTTATCAAAGGTTTTATTGTTTTTTTTTTTTTTTAAATTTTATCATAGAAAATTAATTTGGTATATGTGTAATTAGGTCATAGGTGTTTCTTACAAGTAAATTACCGAAGATAAGGTAATAACTTATATTAGGTAAATATATCGGTTCAATATAATGTTAGATCATAATATTTATGAGTTAAATTATAATAACTTTAAAATTTAATAGAATTTGAAACATAATTAATAGTCATTTATATATCAAAATTAATGGTTTAAAATATGATGAGATAGAACATAAAATAGTTACGTATTCGTAACTTTTCGCTCACAACTGTGAACTCAAAACGAATCATATGTTGAAAATTTGTATAAAGTAAAAAAAAAAAAAAAAAAAAAAAAATGATATTTGATATAATCCGACTAAACATAAAATAATTCGGATTCAAATAACAAAACAACTTTCTACTAATTTTAATAGCTAATTTGGCTTATAACTGCCTGTGTCATTCTTTTCAGATTTATTAAGAAACAAAACTAGATTGTGTTGATCAATTTTGAAATTTATTGTTGGTCCCTCCAATTAAGTTTTGGGAGATTATAGCAGTGTATTTTTTTTTTTTTTTTTGACTAATCGAGGGTGTTCAGACCAGTTTGTACACACCTCGACTAATCATTCGGAGCTTGAAGTTAACGATCGGATGTACCCTCTAATGGTCATCCCTATTCGGGACGAGGCAACTCAAACTCAAGGCCTCTTGAGTAATACACCCAAAAATTCTTGTTCGACCATTCAACCACCCAAGGGTGCTTATATGTATGCAAGTGTATTGAATTAACTTAGATCTGAAACAAAATTATGAATATCATAGTAAAAAAAGGAAATTGAAATAATGAACTAGAAAGAGCAAATGTATTTTGAGACTTAAAAGGACTAATAATCTTTCTTGCAAAATATCAAAATAGTTAAATTTTGAGCAAATCGTGAAGTAATGGTATCTATTTGGTTATCCTTCAAAAGTGATGAAAATTAAAGAGACTAAATAATAATAATGAAAACAAGTTTGGAAAAACGACTAAGTCGGAGAATCAATGGCATTTTGTACAAAAAAAAATTATTTGATTCGGATTAATTTTTAGAATAATGATTTCAATAAGTAAACAAACAGATATTTTGTTTTTAATCTAAATAGGATAACAGATAAATAATTCAAAAGAGTGAAATAAATAGGGCTATATCTTTTAAAAATTATTATAATCTATATCCTAATTACTCTTGCAACAAAATCTAGAGGTGATAATTAATTAAGACAATATCATTCCCCGTGATATTTCTAGTTAACGTATGGTATCATGAGCAAGGATGGTACTAATGTCATTTTAATGAAACATATGAGATGGCTCTTAAAGATTAAAAATTCAGCATCATGTTAATGTTTTATATATACAAAGAAAAACACAACTTTATTACATATCTAAATTAGGCATGCATCATCCAAAACTATATTAAGAGAGTGTAATTAACTTGATCTAAAATTAATTAAGAACAATATCATCAAAATAAGGTTTGTTTTGGTCAAATCCTACAGATTATGAAGTAATGGTGTTTTATATAATCAATTATATATCATGAACGACTTTGTGTGAGAGACAGAGATAAGACTTTATAATAAGAGTTAATTATTTCATACATTTATCAGATACATATAGAGCTTTGCATTATTTAGAAGAGTAAACGACTTTTTCTCATCCAAGGTTTGCTTTAATGACACTTTTCACCTAAAAAGTTTTAAAATACCACTTTTTTACTGAAAGTTAATATTCCGTTACTACAAAAAGTTTATTTTGAAGGCGAAAATTCTCTCAGTTACCACCATTTGAACCTCTGATCTTCTCTCAGTAAAATCTTTTTTACTCTGGCATCTAATTTCTCGTCAATAGTTGGCCACTACAAAGTTAAGATTTCCTATTCTAATTAGCCGATTTCTAGTTGATTCTAGCGGCAAATATTTAGTCGGTCACTACTATTTGATATGCCGCTCTCTACTCTATAGAACCCCTCTTACATTGGCTCCTGATAACTCGCCGAACGCTAACTGAGAGAGTGAAGCGTATTTTGGATATTAATATAATATAAATTTTGAGTAAGAAAGTGGTATTTCGAAACTTTTGGATATTAATATAATATAAATTTTGAGTAAGAAAGTGGTATTTCGAAACTTTTTGGGTGGGAAAGTGTCATTAAGACACCTTGGGTGGTAAAAAGTCGTTTACTCTATTTAGAAAAGTTGATGTAGAATCGTCATTGTATCGTTAATAAACCTATAATTATTCATGTTGATGTCTTTCAGCTTTATATTGCCAACGGTGTGACCAAGGTTATTGCAATCAACAATAGCCTTATTTGTAGAATAAAAAATCTAGTATATCTTGTCATATTTCTTCTCATTGAAAGCTACAATATTCTCCGGGGTAATTTGATAAACACTTGGCATTATAATAATGAAAACAAGTTTGGAAAAAAGACCAAGTCGGAGAATCAGTTGCATTTTGCATAAAATCGAACAATCTCAATGCAGTGACGTTCACTTTGGTTGTTGATAATTCCAGGGCAATCCTAGAAAGAACTATGAGATTTGCACTTGAACTACGCGGATCTAACAGTCAGCGTGATATGACATCCTGAGGAAACTGAGTGAGGTTACAAGTTTTGGCAATATTTCGGTTTCGTTTGCTAATACATTATAAGGTTTATGGAGATTGGAGAAGCAAATGAAAAGCTAAAAGTGTTTTCAAAGACATGAACCATTTTGTTGAAAATGCAAGTAATATATATAGCAAGAAATTAACTACCTTAAGCCATTGAAGAAGCATGCATATGATGAAAGGGTAAGATATAAACAAACAAATTAAGTGGGATACAATAGGTATACATTCAATGGTGCGCTTAAATAAATTTTATTTTGAACAAAATGCCATAATATAAAGGATTGTATTTACCTATAATTAACCAATATGAAAATAAGTGTCACGTGATGATAATCAAAATTAATTTTGTTGTTGTATAAAGAAATAATATAGTCTAATTAATAGATGATTCGTAACAACATAATTTACTTTTAAGAACTTCCAAAGAAATTAATGAGTATATCATAAAATAATATCTAAAAATAATATCTATCTCTTTTAACATTCAGATTCTCTTCGAGCTATAGTACTCTCAAGACTTAATTATTATTATTATTATTATTTAAAATTGAGGTATCCAAACACAATTGCCAGCCGAGTCCACCTAATCTTCAAGACACGGAATGTCTTACAAACTTAATAGACTAAGATAATTGCATAATTGTGTAGGTACCTCTTATGTGACTCGAACACAAGACTTCTGAGTATAGCTAACCCCGGTAGCTAAATTGATTTAGTCTTAATTCAAGACTTAATTATTTGCTTTCTTGAAAGAAAAAAAAATAAAATAGAAATACCATCAACTTATAATTTTTAAATAACCTACCAATAACTGCGCTCCTATAACATATCACTACCTAAAGATAAACTTATAATATTTAAACTATAAACATTACCATCAAGTATTACAAGTCTATTATTTATATTGTAGCATTTAATGTTCTACCATGATATATAAATTTTTGTTTGTTTTGGTGTTGTAATCTCACCATGATCATGAATTAAGACATTGAAGGATTCATGCACGAGTACTCAATTAATTAAACCCTAAACTACTATAATTAATTAATCTAATATCTTTATTAAATAAATCTAACGCCGTAGAGAAAGTCGAGTAATTAATAATAATTTAGATAAATGAAGACATAAACTATATATTCTCATGAAACCCTAAACCACAGTATCTGTAATCTCTCCAAA